ACATAGAAGTGTGATTTACAAATCGTCTAAGCATCTCTTGATTCAATCAAGCTGAAAATGAAGATTAACCATCACAACTACTAATTTACACATGTCAAGACAGCCTTCAGATTAAATGTAAAAGGTGAAAAGAGGGATGGGAGAACAATAATCTTTTCTGGTGACAGCTGCTAATCAAAAATATAGAGAGATGTATGCTTAATTGGTATTTATACAGGTACCACTGATAAAACGTATTTGTGATAATCTATAAAAGCACAACAAAGTTAACCACTAAACAGGCAGTAACTACCAAAATATGAGGTTTTCTGTTTTCTGTGATTAAGCAAGCACTCTTTCACTGGCTTCACTTGCTATAGACCTCAGTTTGTAGTACAGTAATAAAAATTCAGAAAGTCATGGGTTGCTACTCAAGAATATCAAAAGCTAGAGGAAGTACATAGCTCAAGTGGCATATGGACTGCCTAGCAAGTGGGGCCTTGAGTTCAAAACGAACTACAGAAACAAATAAACAATCAAACAAAAGCAATATACCATATTAGGCAGATATATATGATGGAACAGGATACTTTGAACAGGAACATTTAGACAATGATGTTAAATTGTAACCCCCATGCAATCTTCTAAAGTACAGAAAAAAATTGTTTTAACTTAAAAAGAACTATATAAGAAACTGTAAACCAACTATAGGGCGATGTAGACTTTTTTTTTTGATAAACCAGAATGAGAATTTTTCAAAGAATATAGCTCATCTTTGAGATATTTTGAAGCTAAACATACTGAAAGCCTAAGCTAAACAACTTCCTAAGATTCTTTTAATCCTTGATTATGTTCAGGATATCACCTATCTTTTAATATTCTAGGTACAACAAATAATAAACACAGAATCCAGAACAGCAAGGAAAGTCATTTCTGTAACATTATGATTATGGAATATTTCCAGAAACTTCCTCAAAGAAAATCAGGGGAACTTTAGCATAAAAACCCAAGCATCCTCAAGACAATGACCCAAAAGAAGCAAATCGAAAGTCAGAAGCTCTAGGAGCTACACCAATGGATCAGAATGTGAGTATATATCATAAAACACTGCTAAAATCTCTTCCCTAAGATTACAATTTCCTATTCACTTAAGTCCCTGTTAAAATCTCAGTCCTTTCCTCAGATTTTACCTGAGTATTATTATAAAAGGCCACTCACCTAAGTTGTTTTTCCACAAATTCTCATGACCCATGTACACATTCATCCCTAAACTGGAAACAAGTTTAATATGTTAAGGCAGATAAAGCAGTAAACTGGTCCAGGAGTTCAAAATCACATGGATCCAATTCACAATTAGCCATTACTAAGCACTATCATCCTCAATAAAATCACTTAACATTTCCATTTTAGTAACCTCTCTCTGCAGGTTTTAAAGTGTTTTTACTTTATTAACCCAGTATATTAAAAGACACTCTTTAGTAAAACACTAAGCAGTAATAAATTCACAAGTACCTTGAAAGTGATTTATTATCACAGCACTATAAAAGAAACAGAGATTGCTACCAGTAAGAGTCATTTTAGAGCACTTTGTAAAAACCCTCAAGCTAGTCACATAAAGATTATTACAGTGGTGAAATGCAGCAACACATTCCTAAGTACATCTACCCATTTAATGCTTATTTGCCATTTCAATTGAAAACCTTCTAGTCAGTCATTTCTAGGGCTATACTTTGAGTATACTGTAATATTAATTTTGAATGTTATGCTACTTGGAAATTCTAAATGGAGAAAAATAACTGGCATTTATTCTTTTAAAAAGTAAGGAAATATTCAGGCTTACATGCTAGTTTCTCCAACTATATATAAACTTTACTCTAAATTCTATTAGGTTTACCAAAATAACCAGTCATTTGTAGTGAATACAATGTCAACTTGTTTTGATATGATACATTTCCTACATACTGGCTAGACCGAAGAAACACTATTGTCATTTTAAGCTAACAGAAACATCCTCAGCATAAAAACCCAAAAACTAATAAATGTTAGAATTCACTTTCTAAAACCAAATAAAAATTTGTCTTAGTAATCAAGGCTAAAATGTTATAACTGTACAATGTACAGTTTTTCTACAAATCCCTCAAAAAGAAAAAGGAAACAAAAAGAATGTGGAGAAATGTATAGTCTGTCAACCCTATCATAGAGTTGTCAAGTGAATTAGCAGGAAAACTCCCTTGTCATACATCTATTTTTAAAAAAAGAAGAGAATGAGGTGATATTGAAGTCTCATTCCCTCCCAAGTTGTCCAGCTTAGTCCTGGAAGAGGAATGTCTATAAAGCTGGGGTGGAGTTCACTGGTCTACTCACTACTCAGCTGTTGAAAACAAGTTTTTCATTTCCCTTATTGTTAATTAGGCAATTTTATGTTGCTTTGTGTTTTCTATAATAGAGAGACTAATAGGGCAAATTATCATGATAACATATAGAAATGTCAAAATGATGCCTATTAGTGTAATGGTAGCAGAATTTTCTAAGACTCAAAAAATTATTATGTCAGGTTTTTACGAACCTATTTTCTTTTAAGTGAATACCTACATCACTCTATTTCCTGAGGAACTTCAGCCTGTCAACACAAAGTAAGTTTTGTTTTATTTTAAGCTGTTTCAAGGTTTCCATATCTTATCTTTTCCAGAAAGTATACGTAATAGCAGCCAATTTGCAAGTATCAAATTTAAGATTATAGCACCAGTAAATAAGAAGAAGTTAAAGTTCACTTCAACTATTTATGTTGGCATAGATTGAATAGACTATGGAAGAAAGACTGACACCAAATGCTCTATTTTGCCTTTGCTGGTGTGCTGCATGAACCAATTTTCACTGTACAAATGTAACAGAGTGTCTGCCATAATGACTGTATCATTTAAAATACACAGATTCATTAATTACTCCTTCTCTGTGAAAGTTTGGCATCTTGGCTCCTGTCACATATTTGCAAACTAATTTTGTGTTGCACTAAAGGAACAAGAATCAAGAAACAAGAACAGTTTTCTAAGTTTGGGGGTATTTTTATTTAATTTTATTATCACAGTGATGTACAGAGGGATTACAGTTACATACATAAGATAGTGAGTACATTTCTTGTCAAACATCATTTTTTCTCCCACTTTCCCTCCCCTCCCCTCAGCTTACTCCCCACCCCAAGATGTAAAGTTAATTTCCAGCATATTATTTTGTGAGTCTCACTGTTGCATTGTTTTTATAAAACAAGAAAAACATCATGGAAATGATTGCTTACAATATAAAACTTCTAGGGTTAATTTTAACACCACTAAATGTTCAAATTTTCTTCAAAATGCTATAGAGATCTTTTTGTCTCTTAAAAAGAAATATTCAGCCGGGCACCAGTGGCTCGCACCTGTAATCCTAGCTACACAGGAGGCTGCGAGCTGAGGATCGCTGTTCAAAGCTAGCTCAGGCAGGAAAGGTTGTGAAACTCTTATCTCTAATAAACCACCAGAAAACTGGAAATGGCGCTGTGGGTAAAGCGGTAGAGTGCTAGCCTTGAGCTGAAGAGCTGAAGGACAGTGATCAGGCCCAGAGTTCAAGCCCCATGATTGACACAAAAAAAGGAAAGAGAGAAAGAGAGAAAGAAAGAGAAGGAAGGAAGGAAGGAAGGAAGGAAGGAAGGAAGGAAGGAAGGAAGGAAGGAAGGAAGGAAGGAAGGAAGGAAGGAAGGAAGGAAGGAAGGAAGGAATATTTAAACCTAAACCTTATAAGCGAATCTAAGGTGGGTGCTGGTGGTTAACATCTGCAATCCCAGCTACTCAGGAAGCCGAGATCTGAGAATCAAGATTCAAAGCCAGCTCTGGCAGGAAAGTCCATGAAACTCTCATCTCCAATGAACCTCTCAAAACCGAAGTGAAACTGTGGCTCAAAATGGTAAAGTGCTAGCCTTGAGTAAAAGAGCTCAGGACCACAGCCAGCCCTGATTTCAACCCCACAACCAATAAAAAAAATTAATTTTTTTAAAAGTGACTCCAACAATTTTGCCCAAAATAGCACACAATGTCTAATAAAATTTTAAAATAATAAAAACAATACATGCACAGATAATCCAATCAAAACTTACAAAATTTTTGTCTTAGATCTATGGAAAATTAAAATCATATTAAGAAGCAAAAATATTCCATTTTATATTTTTATTGTAAGTAGAAATCAATTTCATAAAACTAATTTCACATAAAACTATTTTTCAAGAAATATTTCCAATTGTTTCCATTCCTTTTTTTTATTATAGACTACCCTTAGACTGAAAGGTTCATAGTTGATAGCTTTAAATGAAATGTGGTAAGGATAAGAAATATTAAATATTTATTCAAAATATCAGCCACTGATGACACAATATTTTTACTTCTTTTTTTTTTTTAAATGTATAGTAGGGTGCCAGTGGCTCATGCCTGTAATCTTAGCCACTCAAAAGGCTCAGATCTGAAGATCACAGTTCAAAACCAGTCCAAACAAGAAAGTCCATGAGACACCAATTAACCAGCAAAAAGCCAGAGGTGGAGTTATGTCTTAAGTGGTAGAGCATTATCCTTGAGCCAAGAAAGCTCAGGGACAGTACCCAGTCCCTGAATTCAAGCCCCAGGACCTGGTGAACACACACTCCACACCTATACATATACATCTGCAAAGAGGCATAAAGATTACTATACATCCACACAGTAAACGTATATAGACAACTATATCTAACAATTTGTATCACTTTGACAGGAACTCTGCTAAATGTTTTATTAATCTTCAAAGCAACTGTAACCCTATTTTATAAGTAGAGAGGGAAAGCACAAAGAAGTTTAACAGTTTTCTCCAAACCAGTCAGTCAGAAGTGACAGAGCTGAAGCTTGAATGTGATTTCTGAATTTCTATATATGGCATATAAAGGACACAAGGGATCTGGCACAATGCTAACAAGTACTAAATAAAAGAACAATTATTATGTTAATATTGGTCTATCCTTTACTTACTTTGAGATAATTCTGGGTTTCCTTTCAGATTCATCATCTTTGGAATTGAAGGGCCATACACATCGGCATCTAACAAACCAACTGTCTTTGTCTGTAAGGAAACAATTCACCACAGGATTATTCACACTCTTCATCAAAGATAAGCTATACATGTCAACTGGTAGGACTACAAAAAGAATATCTGTAACAAAAATCCTAACGTAAACTTCAAAGTAATAGTAAGAAAAGCATAAATTGCTTAAATAAAACATTTTGATCTACAATTATCCTTTTGTGAGATGAGTCATTTTTATGTTTTTTTTATTGCAAAAATCCTCTACAGAGGGGTTGATCTAAAATTCTTACAGTTTACTAGAAAAATCTACCCCATTTGTTTTACTCATTGTAGTTCATGTCTCCTTTAGTCTCAAGAAGACCAGGAACTTTTTGAACTAACCATGATTTTCTTTTTCTTCTTCTTTTCTTTTCTAATGGTACTCAGGTGTGAGAGTATGAGTTGTTCTGCCTTTATTTGGTTTTGGTTTTGGTTTTGGTTTTTTAAATCAGGACCTCACATTCAGTAAGCAGGTACTCTGACACCTAAGGTCTGTCTATCCTCAGTCCTAGATGCTTTATTTTTTGGATTGGGTCTTGCTAACATTTTGTCTAGGCTAATCTGAGTCCACAATTTTTTCACTTATACCTCCTGGTGGCTAGGATTATAGGTACATCATCACACTTGGCTTAGTGGTTGACTTGGGGTGTCACCAACTTTCTGTCTAGGCTGGCCTTGAACTGTGATCCCCCTGAGTAGCTGAAATGAAAGATGTGAGCCACTATGCTTGGTCCTACAAATAATTTTGAAAATTAAGAAATAATATGAAAATAAGGTTAAAATACTGATTTACTACAGGAAACAAAACCCAAGAGGATGGAACATTATTAACTTCTGGATTCTATCTAACACATCAAAGAATAGAAATTTCTAAATGATATGGGAAACAAGACAATATTAAAGCAGTTGTGAAATTCTGATGTGGACCTGACATAAAAGAAATGGAAATGCTAACAAGGATTACTGGCAAACAATAGAGACAGACTCATAAGTGCAAGTTAAATATCCAAAATCTTCTGTGAGACTCATAAATAACTGAAGACCATTCTCTTTGATGACCTGCTCAGCTGTCAAGGGGCAGAAGATCCTCACTGGTCTCGGCTAGCTACCATTATTCAAAAGCTGAGCCAAGGAAAGAACAAGATTCATTATTCCAAGGATCTCTTTTTCTCCTCTCCCCCTAAATCAGTTTCTTATTGATTTCTCATCGACAAGTAAATGGGATTCTAATACTACTTTCTTTTTACCAAGTCTTAGAACTCTCCTCTACCACTAAACCACATTCCCAGCTTTACAACTCTCCTCTTACTCAACTCTATCCATACCCTGGCAAAAATAAAACTCAAGCCCTCAGAAAAAAGTTTTAAAAACTAAAAGTCTTTCTTCCATGACTTTTAACTACCTATTCCAGGTACAAAAGAACTTTTTTTTGGTGCTAGTACTAGCCCTGGCCACTGTCCTTAGCTTTTTTGCTTCATGCTGGTACTCTACCATTTGGGCCTCAGCTCTCCTTCTGGCTTTTTGCTTTTTTACTAGAGACAATAAACTCAGAGCTTGTTTCAAACCTCCATCCTTAGATTTCAGTATCCTAAGTAGCTAGGATTATTAGCCTGAGCCACTAGCATCTGGACAAAATTTATTTGTTTGTATCAATCCTAGGGCTTGAACTCAGGGCCTGAGCACTATTCCTGAACTTTTCTGCACAAAGTTAGCGCTCTACCCGGTTGACACACAGCTCCACTTCTGGCTTTTTTTTCTTTTTTGGTGGTTAATTGGAGATTAGTTTCCTAGGCTTTCCCGACTGGCCTGGCTTCAAACCATGATCCTCAGATCTCAGCCTCTTGAGTAGCTAAGATTACAGGAGTGAGCCACCAAATGCCTGGCTCCAAAATTACTTTTTAAGCCTTGTTGTCTTATTACAATAAATATACAAAATAACATAAATCCAACATTTATGCTTCTAATTTTACCATGACTCAAACTGTAGTTCTAACAAAATCACTTAGTATTGTCAAGTCTCTTAAGAGAAAAAGTGGACTTGATATCTATCTCTGACAAAAATCTCAGGTTATTGTAAAATAAATGAGGAAATAGGAAAAAAATCTTTACCTTCAATAGTATACAGATTTTAAATGTAATGTATGTAGGTAATAGCAGACACAACAAACAACTAAGAATTCTAGTGGATTCAAATAGAATTAAATATAGAATGAATAACAAGATTTCAATGAGGTGACCTAAAACCTTTAGAAAAGTGTTAACTCTGTTATCTAAGGATCTTCCAATACTGTAACTCTCAGTCTAGAATTTTACCTTTTTTTCTGTATCATTTCTATGATACAAGACTAAAAACTACCACAAAATAATAATAAATACTAGTAAAAAGAGAAATATTTTAAGATTCTTTTTTATTTTCTCATATCAGTTTGGGGTTTGCAGCAATTTGAAAGGTTAAATTCCAAGTTTCAAACAGATCTTCTAACAATACCTGTCAACTAAATTAACAGCCTGGCTCTAACATTCACTATGGTTGCAATAGATTTTTACGTGTATTACTCAGATAGCTGCCAATAAATACTATTACACAAAAATAAGGAGGATGGGAAGGTTATAAGATTTTATAATTCCTCTGCTTCCTACGTATTGGAAACTAAAAATAGAAGAATTTTCCATGTCTCAAGTTCCTATATATTCTCTTTAGGAGTGGGTTATTCAAATTTAGTCTGTGTGTATGTGGATATGTGTAAATGTTTATGCATTAAAAGGAAACAGAAAAGGAATGTATGAAGATAGAAGAGGAAAGGAAAGAGGGAGAGGGGCAAAGGGAGGAAAAGAAGAGATAAAGGGAAATAATTATCACAAGTGTTATATTAATACCCAGGTCAACTAGGTACCTATAGCTAGCTCTATGGACAGTCAGAATCAAGTTTAAAATGAAATCACCCGGATACAAGACTTTCTCTGATTATAACTTCTTGCTTAAACTCTTCCTGAGGCCTAGGGATAGGGCTAGCAAAGCACCAGGCCCTCAGTTCAAACACCAGTACCCTGGGTAGAAAAAATACTGGGTGCTAGACAGTAATCTAAACATTTATTTACTTTCCTCATTTACTCCTTATACTAACACCACAACGGAGTATTATTTTTACTTGCAGATTAGAAAGCTGAAAACTAAACACTGAAAATGATTTTGTGTCTAATGTATTATTAGAATGAAACAGAATAAGCAGAAGTTAAACTTACAAAATACTAAGCTTAAAGATCTCCACCAAATCTACTACAAAAGATTTAAATATAGAATATATCTTTATAAAGAGCCAAATGATAAATAGTTTAAGCCTTGAAGATAGCATAATCTCTATGGCAGCTACTCAACACTACTTCTGGAGCATCAAAGCAGCCATAGCAATACAAAATTGAATCAGAATACTGTGTTCCAATCAAACTTTACAAAAACAAGGAAGATTTGGGTCATAGGTCATAGTCTGACCTATGTTGTTGGGGTTTTATTTTTTTGGTTTATAGAAATTTATTTAAGTAAAACTCAATGACATGTTTATAATTTTCAATCCATCCAGACAGACAGACAGCTACCTTGTAATGTATAAGCTTCAATCTTGCTGCTAACCAACATAACTTTCTTTAATGTTTCCAAAATGAAGGGTCCACCTGCAATTCTCAAACTGTATTCTGTCATGTAATCCTGGCTGGTCTTAAAAACACATAATCTTCTGCTCCTATATGTCCTAAGATGGGACTACTGGCTCATTCCACCATACCTAGCTTCAATGTTAAATTCCTAACCTTGACTTAAAATTCAGTGTGCACTGTTTGTTGTCATGCAGATGCTTCAGATCTTTATTTAAGGTCTTCACTCTGGATCCAAGAGCAAGTGACACAGACAAAAATGTGCATCCAAGTAGTAGAAACTCCTAGTAGACAACTCAGTTGCCACCACTTGAGCTCCTACTTTTCTGGCAGGGCCTGTGCCCATGGCTGGACTGGCTTGCTCTTTAGGACCTCATTTCTCAACATTCTTTGACAGGTAACCATCCATAAGATGCCATCAAAAGCCACACTTTACAACTTAGGAGGGTGGGGGACGCACACACAGGGAGGATGGGTTGTTATGGGTAGAAAAGGGATGGTAGTGGAAAAACAAAGAAGGGGGTAACAATGCTCAATAGGAAATTTACTTATTACCTTACTTATGTATCTTTAACCCCTCTGTACAGTATCTTTACAATAAAAATACATATTTTTTTTAAAAAGCCACACTGCATCCACAATCAGCACATTTTGGCAGCTGCGAACTTCCAATGACAAAACTGAGAATAAAGTGGATCTTTGCTTGCTTGGTTTTTTTTGCCAGTCTTAGGGCTTGAACTAGGGGCCTGAACACCCTGAGCTTCTTTTTTTTTTTTTTTTTTTTCATTGTGAAAATACTATACAGAGAGGTTACAATTACATGGGCAAGATAGTGAGTACATTTCTTATCAAGCATTGTAGCCTCCTCCTTTGTTTACCCTTCCCATCCCTTCCCATCCTCCCTCCCCACCCACCCAACCCTCCCCCCACTCCCCCCCCAAACCCGCAAGTTGTAAAGTTCATTTTCCACATGACAACTTGTACTTCTCATTGTTACAATAGGTCCACCTGTATCCTTAGCTAGATCCTTATATATCACCCTGCACCAGAATCAACTCCAAATGGATCAAAGACCTCGAAGTCAAAGCAGACACTCTGAAAACATTACAGGATGAAATAGGAGAAACCCTAGGTCTCCTTGGCACAGGCCGAAATTTTCTTAATAGAGACCCAGAAACAAAACAAATCAAAGACAGGTTGGACAAATGGGATTGCATGAAGTTGCAGAGCTTCTGCATGGCAAAGGACATAGCTAGCAAGATCAATAGAAAGCCCACGGATTGGGAGAAGATCTTCACTAGCCAAACAACAGACAAGGGTCTCATATCTAAAATATACTTGGAACTCAA